CCTGGAGTTAGAGAGATTATGTGGGTCTGTCCTATAAGTCTGTGGTCACACTTAAAAAAGACAAAACAGAGATTCTTGCAACAAAAAAATTCTCCATAGCCTGAGCAAACCTAAAAGTGGCTAAAAAGCCCACAGCCAGATAGCTGAGGGAGTGAGACTATTTTCCAAAGATGATACCCCATTTTGTGTTTGTCTTGAGGCACCTCACACAGATGAAAAATTTATAAATCATGGGCTCTAAACAATGAAAACCTACTGTGCATAAATATATGATCAATAGCTTTGATAAGAGATTTACTAGAGACTATAAAATAAAATTAGAACAAAAGATGCTCAAAAAATTTTGTGAGTTATTGTGGCCTCAACTAAGTCAGTGTTAGCCCCCCCAAAAAAACTCTAGACAAAAAACGTTATCTCCCTCTGTCTTTGACTGAGACTTTGGCACCTTAGAGCCTTGTGTGCTCTGTTTTAGGGCCTAAACAACCCAGCCTGAGAGCCACTCTGCTCTGCGGCAATCAGATCTTGATAAAAACTGCTTAGTTTTGGTCTTAAAACAACTGCTTGCCAAATCGGCTGTTTTTTGCATGGTAGACTTGCCTCTCTCAAAAAATATGACATCACTACAGACAGATCCCAGTGCTTCCCCTTTAAAAGAAATTGAGCTACTTGCCCCTTAGCTTGAGTTGCTGAAGATACGATAGACTCCTTTATTGTGTCAGATGGTTATGGATTATTTTGTTTTTAAATTAAAAATTTATAAGCCTAAAGATGATAAATGTAATACCAAATATGTAACTTTTAAAACTTAAAAACCAAAAAGACACCCCCTTACACTCCTTCTAATGCCTATCAAAAAAACATTATAAAAACCCTAATATCATACTTACTTGACTGTGAGAGATATACACACAAAAAGATATATTGTTCAGATAATACTCAAATATAGTTAAACAGTTCTACTGTGACTCATAATACTGACAACTGTGACAACTATAAACAGAGACAATATAACCTTTTAAAATATATATAGCTTGGCCTTAAAAAACAAGCTAACTACAAAAAATAGCTTTTCATGTTTATATTAAATGTCAGTCAACTGCTAGGCATAAGCCTCAGAGGTTACAAATAGATTCCACAGATCAAAAAGGTCTAAAAAAATCCCCCCTCCAAAAATAAAAAAACTCCTGTACTACAAAAAATACAAAATATCTTTAAAAAACATCCAAAATTATACAAAAATAGATATGATAGATTTAATTGATAAAGCTCAGTCACTGCTGCTATAGACAGACCAAAAATTAGCTTCTGATTGCTAGATTTATACGCCACTCCCATGATGCCTCATCAAACAATTGACATTATGATTGACCTGTCCTTAGAGCCAATAAAGTTTACTATACACTCCTTACTCAGCTACCCATTATATACAATTAATATAAATTCAATAAAAAGGTTACCTCCCGAACAAAGGGAGAAATAATTTTAAAAATTTGTATAAATAATCTAAAAGCCAACAAAACATTAAAAATATATAAAATAACTTCTGCTGTCTCTAACAACGATCTGCTTTGTTTAGTTCAAAATTAACAGACACTGGAGGCATTGACCGTAAAATGAGACATCTGGCCTCGTCTCTGACCTTAAACACCCCCTTCCTATACTCTAAAATAGATAGCTAGACAAATCTTAAGATAAACTCCCTAACTACAAAAAAAGTTACATCTGGGTTAAAGTTAGCTGTCTTGTTACTATAATTTATACATAAATAATATAAACTAAAAAAATAAAATATAACCACCTAAATGAGATCATAACTATAAAACCTGTAAAAAACAAAGCTACAACCCGGTACAGGGTCAATCTCTGACACCGTCTTTTTGAGTGTGATTGGCTTTTTGTTGACAAAATAAACCATTTATTATTTTACTTCCATTCAGCTCATCTCTACCTACATGTCACTTACTAATTCCTTCCAGAACAATACCAGTTATAGTATAATCTTCAATTTATTGCTTATCCCTCAGGAGGCATTCAGGCCTGGTCCTTCTCTCTTTATCTTGAGGCCTTTGACAGATGAACCTTCAGTGACAGCTATAGTGTGTTCTCAGCCTCTGCTCTGAATACCTCAAGGGCCCAGCCCTGTGTGACTGCCTATAATATTTCTGCTTAACTTAGTTGTCTATAAAAAAATATTTTAGCCCTAGTAGTAGCCAGAAAAATATCGGGCACAAACAGATTCCTTCCCTCCTTTTTATCATTCATTAATTTGTTCATTTTGTAGTAGAGGTTTGAACACAGGGTCTCACATGGAGCTGGGTCTCCCCTCCTTTCTATTTTGAGATGGGGCCTTTTTATGTTATCCTGACTTTCCTCAAATTGTGGTCATCTTGCCTCAAATTCCAAAGCTGGGATTATAGTCATACTCCATAGAGCTTCTGCTCTATTTTTAAGATTGGTTCAGTAGTTTTTTTTTTTACTTCAGAGAAGAGCCATTAGTAAACTGAATTCATATATTTTTATCTGTTGAAAGTGAGACTATTAATATGATCTTGCTTGTGAAGTAAAAGAACTCAGGTGTGTGATCCTCAAAGAATTGTAGTTACTGCCAGTCATCAGACAAATGCAAACTCAGTGAGAATTTCCTAGAAAATATGCTACCTTTTGTTGACTGAAAATAGCATCTTAGGACCTGTAATGGGTACTCCAAAGGTTACATAATACATATCCTCAAACAAGTCCAGAAGGAATTGCCTCCAAAGAGCAAACCTTGCAGCCGAGAGATTGCGACTTCTCCTGAGTGGAATCCAAACATGCGCAATGTTTCTCATAAACCTCATCAGCTTGCTTGTTTGCTCAGTATGAAAAATAGCCTAAGACTTTATCCTGAAACTAATTTTGGTACTGAAGCCAGTGCACTACTTCACAATGGGCACCATTTTGAATGTTAATTAATGCATTAGTTTCCAAATCCTCCATATTAAAATGGTGCAAACCTGCCAATTTAAAACAACATAGATTTATTCTCTTGTATTTCTGGAGACCAGAGCTCTGAAATAAATTTCACTAGGCTTGAGCAGAGATGTTAGAAACGCTGGTTCCTTTGTGAGGATCGAGGAGAATCTTGTATCTTGCCTCTTCCTGCTCCTACTGGGTCCTTACAATCCCTGGTTCATGATCTCTTTCAAATACGACTCCAATCTCTTCCTGTTGTTGATACATCTTTTCTTTTTATCTGTCTCTGGATATAAGGATCTTTAAGATTCCATAGGGCAAACCTGCATAATCTAGAGAATCCCCCCTTTTAAACCTTTTAACTGGGTCCCAAGCTAAAGTCATGTTTGGTGAAGAAGAGAGTATATGGGCAAATTCAGAACATGATAATCAGGCCGGGGATTTAGCTCAGTGGTTCGGTGGCCTGCCTTGCAAGAGCAAGGACCCGAGTGCAATCCCCGGTACCATAAAACAAACAAACAAACAAAAAACAGAACATGAGGGGGTGGGGATTTAGCTCAGTGGTGCCGTCACCTGCCTCGCAAGGGCAAGGACCTGTGTTCAATTCCCGGTACCAAAAACAAAACAAAACAAAAAACAGAACACGGTAATCATGCTGGATGGGGAACTATTCAGCCCGCAACGCCGAATGAGTGCACTAATAAAAATCAAACCCTAAAACTGCTGTAGTCAGCTTTATCAGAAGTAGAAAGAGTCTCATTAACTTGGTTGGAACCAGTGATTCATTCTGGCTTGGAGATATTAGTATTTACCTAAGACTGTGCTCTTCTCCCAAAATAAGCCTTTCCTCCCCGAGTCCATTCCTTCTAATTATAGCCCCTTCCTGTGTTTAAATCCAGTCCTCTTTTGCAGGAACCCACAAAATGTGTGTCCTGATAACCAGTTCCAGACTGATCCTGAATATTTTTTTATCCCTCCTTCATTGCTGCATAGCTGAGTGGTCTTTACCGAGTAGTTTAACCTCTCAGATGCGTGTTTTTTTCATCTCAAGTTATGAGTTACACAGATGTGGCTATTATCTAAATGTGGATGCACAGAAATGCAATGTGACTTAGCCACACTGCTGCCTAGGAAGTGCACAGCGCAGTATTTGGTGACCACGTGACAGTCACTCATACACCGTTCCTCCACCTCAACCATCTGCTTGGCCTTCCAGAAAAAATCTACACCGCACAGAGGCCACCCCCTTTCCGGGTTCGCAGTCTTACAGAATTTCACAGGAGCCAGAGCTGCCGAGGTCCCATCTGGATGTTTTTCCTCACAGCTCATCCCGTAGCACCTCAACGAAAATGTTCCGACTGTACAGTGAATGGGAGCACTTGGGTGTGACATGTGGTCTCTCCTGGTATCACCTTTACACAACTTTGCTCTTGAACACATCCTCAAATTAAGCCATTCTCCTGTGTGACTCTTTCTTCAACACCAACCCCTTTGTTTTTTTCATCGAACTTGCATCAGTGTATGATCCCCCCGACAGTACAAGCCTCCAAAGATGTAAGGAACTGCTAATAGCGAACAGCTGTCTTTGAGATGAGTAGTTTAATGTTTCTTGTGTAATCCTTTTAATGAAATGATCATTTTCATGTGACACTGATCATATTGCCTGATACATAGAAGAGGTTTGATGCATCGTGACTCTTAGGACTATTATTAACTTATTGCTTTGTTGTATTGGGAAGGACAGTTTTTTCCTTGATTAGCCATTCACATAGCATCCGCATGCCCGTAGGGTAATTCCCATGTTGCCCATGGACAAGTGGCACCATGCTAAGTACAATAATGGGAGGAGGGACTCCATCACACCCGGTCACAAACAGATCATGATTGCTTGAGCCTAAGAAAGAAGCCCAGAGAAACAATGGCTGACATGTGTCAAACACCAACTGATACGGGTCTTGCCGCAGACCCGAATCCTTTCAGCAGTCCCATGGAGGTTATCTGCCTTCCTCTATCCTACTTCGCCACCCAAAGCCTGGCCGCTAGGAGTTTCACAGACAGAATTTTCTGTAGAAAGTTTTATTTATGGCATTGTTCAGCTCCTTGTTCCTGAGGCTGAAAATGATTGGGCTGAGGAAGGGGGTGAAAACTGTATAGGTAGCGGACGTCAGAGCGTCACTGTACATAGACTGGGGTCCCTCGGGTTTGAGGTAGATCACGGGGGCAAAGCCATGGTGCACAATCACCACAGTGAGGTGAGATGTACACGTGGAGAAGGTCTTGTGCCGGCCCTCAGAAGAGGGGGTCCTCAGGATGGGAGCCACAATGAAGACGCAGGAGGGGACAATGAAGGATAAACAGCCGACCAGGGGTAAGACACACAGCAGGATCACACCCACGGTGACGGAGGCTGTGTCATCCCCACAGGCCAACCTCAACAGGGAAAACGCATGGCAGAGGATGTGGTGGATGACATTAGCTTCGCAGAAGGTGAGGTGGAAAACTATCAATGTCGCCGTCATCCCCACGACCGAGCCACCAGCCCGGGATCAGGCCACGAGATGGGCACAGCCGGCGGGGCTCGTGAGCACATTGGAGGGCAATGGATGGCAAACGGCCACGGAGCGGTCGCAGCCCACGACCGTGAGCAAGAAGGAGTGGGCGCAGCCAAAAGTGAAGGAGAGGAACATCCGGTTGGCACAGGCCGCAGAGGCGATGGAGTGGTGGTGGGAGAGCAGGTCACCCCGCATGCGACGGGTGATGGCAACGGTGAGCAGGATCTCAGAAGCGGAGAGCGCGCACAGGAAGAGGCACATGGGCCTGTGCAGCCGCGCTCCGGCCGCGGCAGTCGTGATGACCAGGTTCCCCAGCAGCGTGAACAGGTACGTCAGCAGGTAGAGCAGGAAGCGCGCTGGCAGCAGCTGCTGCGGGAAGGCGGAGCAGCCGGCGAGGACGCACTCGGGCGTGGTGCTGTAATTCCGACCGGGCAGGCTGCTGCGTCTGGAGAGGCCAGGGGCGGAGGGAGGTGCGGTGGAGAAAGCTAAAGCTCTGCCGCAGACAGGCAGGGGGAAGGGGGTGAGAGGTACGTCAGCAGGTAGAGCAGGAAGCGCGCTGGCAGCAGCTGCTGCGGGAAGGCGGAGCAGCCGGCGAGGACGCACTCGGGCGTGGTGCTGTAATTCCGACCGGGCAGGCTGCTGCGTCTGGAGAGGCCAGGGGCGGAGGGAGGTGCGGTGGAGAAAGCTAAAGCTCTGCCGCAGACAGGCAGGGGGAAGGGGGTGAGGGGTGAGATAAGCGTAACTGTACTGTTGGCTTTAGATGTACCAATAAACTTAATGCGGGGGGCAAATGGCATTTTAGGAACGCTGTTCAGTTAAACAACCGTTGAACTTTTTGGTGTCTGATTTCCCTCATCTATAAAATAATGGTTCATTTCATTCTGCACTGTTGTGTAGATAAAATGAAGTAGGTACATGCAAGGCTTGAGGCAGAGTTTAGCTCCTTATTTTCTATTGGCACCGACTCTGTTGGGACCGCTGAGCACAGGCCGGGTTGGTTAGGCTTGGTATACTTGCTCCTGTGCTGGATCCAGAAAACATACATTTGGGGTTGGCTTTTTCAGTTTTCTTTTTCTCCCTCAGAGTTGTCTTTTAATTGATAGTTTAACTGGTTTCTTCTCCTTTTTGTTCTGTATTGTCAGCAGGCGCTTCTTCTCACTTGAAACTGATGGAAATGGCTGAATATAAAAGAAAGAAAGATGGATGTTAGGAAAAATTCACCTTGAGCACATTTATACAGAAACTTGATGGAAAGGAGTGCAAGGAAACCATGAGTATTTGTCCCTACCACCACTGAGACGAACAGAGGTTTACTGCAGCAGTGTCTGCTTCACGTCCTGAACAGGGAAGCAAGCCTTGGTCATCTTATGCCAGGGTGAACAGTTTCTGAGCCATGGGATAAGGTGATGTAGGAACCCGGCTGTAAGATGTCTGTTGACCCAAACAGTGTCAACTGGAAAAATGAAAGTAGCAATCCTTGCATAGCAGGTGGAGGAAGAAGCTAAGTGATACTGCTAGGAAATAAGCAAAGCAAGGAGGTGCAAGATGGGGAGGGGAGGAGGGGTGAAGGGAGGGCAGGGACAAGGGGAAAAAATGAGAACCAAGACCTGTCATGAAAACGTACAAGATCCCAACAATGAATGGAATGTGCTGTATCCCTAAAATGTACCGATAAACTCAATTAAAGCTGAAAAAGAAAGAGAAGGTGCAACGTTTGGTTGACTATTGATCTAGTCTCCTCGATGACCACTAACACAAAGCAGATGAGATTTAGGGAACTAGACTGGATCATCATCTGCGCAAAATGGCTTGAAAATTGTAAAGGTAATAGAGAAAACTCTAACTGTGGCATAAATTAATAAATAGTGATATTAAAGAATAAATATTTTAAATGTGCTCTGTTAGATCTTAATCCAAAGGAAAGTGTAGGCAGCTTCTAAATGTATACTGAAATTTTTGAAAATCACACACTTGCAAAGACACAAATGCTATTTATACTGTTTAGAATAGGACTGAGCAAACAACAGGAAATCATAAGCACCTATATCAATATTTCCCCAAAATGTCAAGGAATAGTCAACACAACTCCAGCAATATAGAAATACAAACACCTCAATCAATAATGCACAGATAGACAATTATAATTAAAAAATTAAGATAAGATTCAGAAATACAGCTTATCACTTGTTGATTCTTGAGCAGTTGATAATATTCAGATGTCAGCCACTGAATATAGTGAGGCTTTCTGTAAAACAAAATAAAAATTTTTATTGTGCAGGAGATAAGACACAAGGTCTCACACATCCTAGACAAGTGCTCTACCACCAAGCTATACTTAAGCCTTAAAATATTAAATTTTTTTCCCAGAATACACACCTTTTACAAAAGTGGGCCTTGTATTAGGACATAAGAATCTTCCATCTATTCCAAAGTAAAACTATTATATAGATTACACAACAGTGACGTTAGAAATCAGAGAAGCAGTAGCTTTTCACATCCATGTGTTTTCATTGTAAAATACATATCAGTGTTTTAAGTTGTAAGGATGAACTGCATTAAGATGTATAAAGTAATAATTTAAGTACTGAAAGTCCAAATTTTAGTCCAAAATCATACTGTGAAATATAAAAGTTTCAAAATATTTATCAAGACATTTCAGGAAAAAAGTACCAATATATATTAAAACCAAAATGAAGCACTGGGCGTGGTGGTGCACACCAGTAATCCCAGCACTCTGCAGGCTGAGGCAGGAGGATCACTGTGAGTTTGAGACCACCCTGGGCTACATAGTGAGTTCCAGGTCAGTCTCAACTACATAGTGGGACCCTGTCTTAAAAAAAAAAAACACCAAAAAACAAAAAACCCCCCAAAATGAGGCTATTGAAATGATTACCAAGGTGAGAAGTAACTAGAAGAATGTGCTTATAGCAAAAGGCAAAGTTAAAAATTGGAAATCATACAGTGATCACGCATATTTTAAAAATACATGGAAATAAAATTGTTATTTGATTCCCAGACTGAGTTCTAAATTTGCTCTAGTTTATTTACAGAAAAAAAAAGACTTTTTGATCCTGAAACATGAACCATCTGTGCCTGTACGAGGCTGAGAATGGAAGAGTTTCAGGTAATAGTGAAGTTTGCCTGCAAAAAAATTATTTAATACATTTTAGACAATAGATAAATCCTTAGAAAAATACAAGTCTGGTACAAGAATAAAGGGGATGTAGAGACTGAAATAAGTTGTCAGGATGTTGAAATGGAATTCAAAGGCCTTCTCTGCCTAAGTCATCTCTCCAGCGCATCTGCAAGTGAGTCCACTAACTTTTAGTTTTTTTGAAGAACAACTCCATTTGCATCAACAAGTTGTTTCTTTTCTTTTCCTTCTTGTTTTTTTTTCTTTCTACAACCTGGGATAGAACTGAGGACATTGTGCTTGCCAGGCAGGTTAGGTGCCACTGAGCGAAATCCCCAGCTTCCACTAACTTTTAGGCTAAGTGATTAGTATCGTCCTCATGTTCGTCAGATGAATGGGAAAAGCCGTGAGAAACCTTCACAGCCCATTTCACCAGGTTAATGGAATCTTTTTCTAAGCCAGGTGAGAATGTTTACAAGAAGAGGTAATTAGAGTTCCACTTCACATATACATGCAGATTTTAAAATCCAAGATAAGCATAATCCAGTTCTAGACAAGGATGCACTAGAAAAACATTATCATAACTAAATGGTTTCGGGGACCGATCACTGACAAAGTGCTTTAGCCTCTGAAACCAGCGTGGGCTTTTATCACAGCAGTTCACCAAGCAGAAAATTCGTTCTTATTCTGGTCTTGGCAAATGTACATTTTCTAAAAGTTTGCTTCTATGAATGGTTTTTTTAAAAGGCCTCTTTAGAACACAAATCAAAGGGAGATGCTTACCTCAAGTAAGCACAAGTGCCATAAAACTAGTGCACAGGACCCCGAAGGGAGCAACTGTAGAGGTATTATTTTAGGATCCCGAACAAGGCAAGTGCACTCACTGCCTGCTGCTCTTTCCCATGAAACTGAAAGTCATGAATGGCTCCAAAGGCAAGAAAAGGACGTGTATGAATGAGTTCTGGACGCCAGAGCCAAGATCATCAGCTAGAGATGACAAGAGAATCATGATGTAACTCATTCGAACAATAAGGAACACAGTGTTCCTGAAGACAAGATCGACTGGCAAAACACATAGTGCTTCTCATAGTTTTGCATGAGGATTCACCATTCAGAATTTGTCATATATATAAAAACAGGAACTTCCCAATAGAAGCATACATTAGAAAGAACAGCTCTCAGTTAGGCTCCACAGTTCCTGTACACTCAGTAGCCGTGAGAACCCTAAGCACTTTTGTTTAAGTTGGTTACACCTCCAGTTTTTGCCATATTCAAATTTAAATGTTGAATACTTTGAAATTATTCAACGCTTTTGCTAATATGTCTCAGATCTGCTTGGAAGGAGACAGCTAGCTGTGCTTATCTCTTTCTTAATTCAGTCTGTGGAGATACGCTGGATTAATTGAGGAAAATATCACCACACGTGTTGCTGGAAAATGAGGGACTCACCCGCACCCAGAAAGTCTTAGGGATCTGGGGTCCTCAGCACACTCTGAAAAGCTCTGGGATGGAATTTCTAGGATTTAAACAAAAGTCAGCAAGATTTTCAAAGAGGAAACTTTTAAGCACTAATACAATTGTGGATGATCTGAATATACCTGCAAATCGGATTAAAGGTCCCCAAATTGAAAATATTTCAAATGTGTAAAATACTTCCAGATATTCTAAAAACTTCTAACAGAATGGAGACAGACTAAACTCTCTAGGAAAATCCAAAATGTACTGCTGCATCATTTAAACTGAAAGATATACTAAGTCAGACAACACAAATCAAGGCGAGGAAGTGCAGAGTTCACTTGTTTTGTGGCAGAAAAACCCAACTATTTTGAAGCAAAGTAAATCTGATTTTGACAGACAGCATATTGCAAAGGTGGGATTCAGATGGCTTCAATATAGAAACATGAAATTCCAAACTCTGCAGTACAGTATACAGGAGTTTTGGGCAAATAACTTCGTGATTTGTGATGGAGAAAGACTTGAATATACCAAACAAATGCCAAGATGGCTGCGAAAAGATATTAAAAAACCATTTACAGCTTATAATTAATAAAAGATATCTTAGATCATGGTTACATTCAAATGGAAAATTGGGAAAGATATTTGCATCATCTGTATCTGGCAAAGGAATAATATGTAGAACAATAACAACAAAAATCAGTTAACATCAAGAAGGTGGAACCGCAATGCCAAACATGAGCTCAGGAGCTGAGTAGAAAGTTGCATAAGGTGTTGGACAGGTGGAAGGACACTCAAAAGGAAGGCAAGAGAGAGGAAGGAAACAAGGCAGGAGAAAGCAAGCAATTGAGTTTGACTGTATATGAACACTTCCCCGGTTAGGAAACTCCCCACGTTGGTTGCAAAAGAAACCTTGCACACTGCTGGCAGAAGTGTAGATTGCGGAATTAAGAGCTTAAATGTGAACACATTCTGCCCCAGCAAACGTGCTCCTGGGTCCGTATGGAGATTTCTCAGACCCGTTGGAAGGACGTTTTGTAGGAGAATGTTCTCTGCTGCCTTTCTTATAGTGAAGAAGATGAACGAACCTTCTCACCTATGTCTGGGGAAAAGGTAGGCAAGGAGAAATTGAGCACCAAACCAAACCAAACCAAACAACACACCAGAGCCCCTGGCAGAAGTTTGACATCCATGTAGTAATGTCAGTGAATTTCTGTGATTGATACTGAGTGAGTAAAACGAAAGCCAAGATAAACTCCAGCTCTGCTCCCCAATGCGGTGAGGCACATAAAACGTACAGGTACTGGATGCGAAACTCGGCTCTAGGGTCCAGTAATGACGAGCAGGAGCAAAATGGCAGAGGACGCTCACCTGCAGCGGGGACCTCGGCATCAACTCTGGACGTCTGGGGCCGGGAGTGCCTCTGGTGGGCCTGCCTGTGCATCCGTTCAGAGGTACCCCTGTCCTCCCCGCACCAGGGGCCCGTAAAACATGCTCTCCCCACGTCTACGTGCTCCCCGAACCACAGTTACTATTATGGTAGTGAAAGCTCTTGACCTGGCAGCTGCGGTGGGCACCTGGGCCGGTTCAATAAGGCACCCGGAGAGAGCAAGCCAGTATGGTGGGCAGCGGCCAGCTGGAGGGGCCTCTAGAATGAGTGACTTTACCCACACCTCTCCTAGTCTGTCCTGTACTCTTTCTCTCCTGCTCCCTCTTTCCCTGGAACCTTTCCTCGAAGTAACCAGAACGAGAGTGCAAACAAAGAAGGATCCCTCACTTGATGTTTTCTTGTGAGCCTCACAGGCAAGTGTAGGAGCCAGGTCACGGCTGCCTTGAACTGAAGCTCTGCGCCTCATTTCTGGTATGTCCTCGTGCACAGGCTGCCCCTGTGGGCTTTTCCAGGAAGCACACCTGCAAGGGCTGGCCTCCAGAGTCTGGGACAGCCAGGAGAGACTCGGATGAGCCTCAGGGACCTGCACCTCTCACTCTAGCCTCCAGCACAGCGCAAAGGCCCCTTGTTTCCTGAATCTCCCCAGAGAGCACAGCCCTGACCCGGCGGAGAAAGCTCTGTCCTGGGGCGGAGCAGTGTGGATCCAGATACCTTCAGGCCCTTGAGGACGAATCAGGGTTACAAGGAGCACAAGAGCAGAGGGAGCCTGGAGTGGAAAGGCAGGCAAGACTCTCCCAGACTCTGGCGATTTAGAGCTTGGAATTGGAAGGTGGTTTCTCTTGGGCGTTTTGTGCATTTACTGTCTTCTGGCCAAACCCGGACGGCCCTGCCTCTCTCCTCCGTCGGCTTCTGTTTGCCTGTACAGTTGATAACAGAGATGACACGAGTCGTGTGCCTCTGTGTGATGTACTAAATAATAAACACTCCTTATCTGAGTACGGGAGGAAGGGGAAGGGGAATAAGAAAACAATCAAGATGTGTCAAGTGCATGTGCCTACTGCCCAGGGTGAGTGTAAAGTCCAGGTACTGCAAATACGGACGGTACAGAAAAGTGCGACAGCTCGGCGTTGTAGCCGAGCGTCACGGCTGTCTGAGGGTCTCTGGTGGCAAAGCGGTCGAGTGGCACTCGGAGTGACGGAGGGATTCTTTACTATACCAGCAGACCCAGAGGAGTTGGCACCATGGAGTCAGAGCCCCAAGCAGAGATGGAAACTTTATGTACAGATGTATAGGGCAGGGGGTGAGCATGCTCACTGAGGCAGAAGGGTGGCCTTAGCAGAGCATTCTTGAAACCTTCGGTACAAGCATCGTGCCGCAGGAACAGGAACGTCCTGCAGCACAAACAGTTACATCGCTCGGACAGAAGTTTTGGTACATTGTGCAGGAACATCCTGCAGCACAAACAGTTCCATTGTTTGAACAGAAGGTCCAACGGCCAGAGCATGGGGTGGGGGGCTGGACAACAGACCAAACCTGCCCTGTTGTGCATTGTATTTTTAATCGCTACTAATGAAAAGGAGGTACAAGTAAAAGAGATTCATTGCCCTATGACAAAAATGGTCCCAGTCTTCGGATAGTTCACTCCACCTCACCTTCTGGACACACGGGGCAAGGCTTGTGACCACAGTGCCCGGACAGCCCTGCCTCAGGGGTTTCCTAGGTCAAGCCAGGCTGCAGGGCGTGCACTGATACCATAGGATTGGGCTGTTGCAGTTCTGCGCTCCATGCTAGTGGCCCTCCACTTACGGGTCTTAGGGCTGGCTCCATCCCGCGGCTTTGCTATGCACTGGACTAGCAGAAGGCTCTGCAGCAGTCCCAGGCCCGTAGTTCCCTCCAGTTTGGCCCTAGTAAGGTCAATGAAATACGCCACCCTTGCTGCACAGCTCCTCCTGGACCCTTGGGCTGACCGAGTCAGTGTTTGAAATCTGGACGGAAGATCCACGCCTGCCCTGCTCTTGCGCTCCCTGCAAGTGCAGAGCTGACATCAGGCACTGTGCCTTCCAGAGCAGTAGCCCATGCCGACATTGGTCCCCTCAGGAGTGAAGGAGGTGGTCAGATGGGGTAGGAAGCAAAGGCCCACACTGGGCATCCCTGGACAGTAACTCCCGATTTGGGAAATTTTATTAATACATGGAATAAAGCTCAGTGGCTGTGTTTCATATAATTCCTTCTTTTCTGCTTTCTTTGGCATATCCTTTTTTTTGGCCCAGGTGACCATTTCAGTAAATTACTTGCTAATATAATGTACTCTCTTTTTGCAATGAAGTATTGTCCATTAATATTATTGGTCTTTTGTGTGCTAGATATATCTCTGCCACTTTTGAAAAATGCAAGTATCTTTCCCCAACGTTCCCTCTGCATTCTAATTTAATCCAGTATATCCTTGTTGAGTGGAATTTTTTTTTTTTGAGACAGGGTCTCACTGTACAATTGAGACTGACCTGGAACTCACTGTGTAGCCCAGGCTGGTCTCGAACTCACAGCGATCCTCCTGCCTCAGCCTCCCTAGTGCTGGGATTACAGGCGTGAGCCACCACGCCTGGCTTGAGTGGAAATCTTGTGTGTTTCCATATGCTTTTTTTTTTTTTTGGCACCAGGGTTTGAACTCAGGTCCTTGAGCTTGCAAGGCAGGCGGTGGAACCACTGAGCTAAAAATCCCCAGCCTCCATGTACTTTTAAAGTTACCTAAACATAGCCTTGCAGTTTTATATAAGTCTTTCCTTCTCCTACAATAGCGATGGTGAAACTTGCAGAGAGCAAGTGCCCAAACTGCTACCCAACGCCCACTTATTTATCACAAAATGCCAACACTGCAATTAAACCCTAATACTGAGGTTTTAGTTCAGAAAAACAGCTCGTACACCAGCATCTTTGTTTTTAAAGAAAAATACAATGACAGAGCTTTCAGTGATATAAACAACTTTTATTGAAAGATACAAATTAATCATTGTTGAAGTGTGACAGCCGGGGGTGGGGTGTCTCGTGACAGCCGGGGCGTCTCCGGACAGACCTCAGTCCTGAGTAGGAGCCAATCAACTTTATCACCAGTGGCTTCAAGGGATTCAAACTGCCTTCAAAGAGTCAAACAGAAGTTTGCTCCCATTTTTATATTTTCATGTTTCTATAGGAGGGGGAAACAGCCATCAATCTAACCCTAACTACACAAGCAAGGGAGGAGCAGGAGGTTCGGTAGGGCTTTCTTTCCTTCTTTTTTGCGGTACTGGGGATCGAACTCAGGACCTTGTACTTGCGGAGGCAGGCACGTTGCTGCTCAGCTACATCCCCAGCCCTGGCAGGGCTTTTTGAGATGGCCTTGCTCTGGTGAATTTGCATGATAGTAGTGACTATAGTTACAAAATATCTTTCTCAGCAATCATAATTACACAACCCATAGTTGGCCATTTTTACACCGGGAGAGTTGCTGCCCTCAATGTGATCCTTGCTGTTGTGTTCATGCTGATAATTTGTCAAACCTTGGCCTGGGTGGCGGGGGTAAGGGTGGGGGGCCCTTGGCTCTCAACCACACTCAGAGGGCTGTGTGCCCAGCAGCACACGTGCTGTGGGTTCACCACCACTGTCCTAGGTCATACTGAGATTCCAACTTATCCTAGTGTACGCTAGAGATGATTTTAAACCAAGAAATCCTTTATTCACTTTTAAAATAATAGTACCAATGCGGTTCTGTGTCATAAAAGGGAATATATATGATTAATTCAAATTATTTTACGTACACTTTTGTAATATTTTATTTCCTCAGTTCCTTACTAAGGCCCCATTCCTTGTGACTCTTTTATGCAAATCCGCCAGTATAATGTGATGAATAAAAACCCCTGATTTTATTCTAAAGAGAAATGTTACTTTTGAGAGAAAGTACTGTTCTGATAACTTCTTTTGAATGCTAAAATGAAAATATTTTTAAACTAACTTTGGATGCTATGTGGCCTACTACTCACAAAACAAAAAGGGACAGCAGAAGTTTCCATTTTGAGGAATTTTGTTCACCTTTAGTTTTAGGACTATTCACTTTTGTTTGTTTTGTTTTTTAAGACGATGTCTCAGGCTGGCCTTGAACTCATGGCAATCCTGTCTCAGCCTCCCCAGTGCTGGGATTACAGGTGTGTGCGACCATGCAGCTCAATTTACTTTTTTTTTTTTTTTTTTTTTTTTTTTTTTTTTTTTTTTTTTTGGTACTGGGGATTGAACTCAGGACCTTGTGCTTGGGAGGCAGGGGCAGTGAACTTACTTGTTTTTGATGGAGTTTCAGTCACCACTCTGCAGTGAAGGTGCTGTTGTCCCGGAGGATGGAAGGGCAGACGCTGTGAGACTGGTGCGGGACTTTACAGTTAGCAGCCCAGCAGCAAGGCAAGGGCACAGATGTTAATGGCGATATCTCAGCCAGTTCAGTTCAAATTATTTCCCTGACCCAGATTTCATATTGACATTGCTCCTCCGGATGCATCAGTTTTCCTACAAATGACTCAAGTTTATCCTTTATGGTAGAGCAGGGCTCTCTTGTTTATCAACACTACATTTTCTTTAACTATTCATCTGCTGATGGTCGTTTGGGTCCCTTCTGAGATTTAACTGTTATGAATCACGCTGTTATGTACATGGGTATGAACGTACCACGAATATGTTGTCCTTAAAGCTTTCAGGAAGATAGCGTAAAGGGAAATATCTGGGTTGAATGGTGTCTTAGCTCTTTTTCTTGTTCTTGAGATAAAATGTCTGGGACCCAAAATTAGAGGAGGAAAGGTTTATTTAGCTCACAGTTTGTAGAGGTTTCAGTCCATAATTGGCCCCAAGGCAGGCTGGCCTGGCAGAGAGGCTTTGCAGCAGAGAAACAGTTTACTGTACGCAGCAGACAGCAAAGGCAACAAGCGTCTTTTTGCCCTCTGTATCTTGTGTAGACTACTTAGGATGGGCACGCACACCCTTAGTCCTTGTGCCCTTGAGCCTAGCACTGCACCGTGAGTCAATCCCAGCGTCACACC